TGCCCAGTCTATGTTTTGTTTAGGGTAAACAAATCTTAAAACTGTCACAGCCAAACTGCCATGCAAAATGTGCATACTGAACTTTTTGTTGATACTGAACATAACTTTTTAATGTAAGTCAAAACACTTGGTTATGGTTACAAAAATTGTGATCTTGGTTAGATATTGAAATAAATATCAAATACTGAAGAAAATAGATGTTGACTGAAAAACATTTTCAATATTTAACTAAAACCACAATCTTTCCTTAACCTTTGTATCTCACTGTATCTGAGTTTCCTGAATCAGACACACCTCTTCATCATGAGAAAGACAGATCAATGAATAGAAACTACTGGAGCACCATCATGTTTTCTGGTCTGGGACAATAAACAGCATTTATGATACTGGTTAGCAAAATCTGTTTCTTTAATCGTGTCATATTGATAACCCTTTCCTCTATTTTAAGCTACAACCTGCTCTATTTAGCTGCATGATGAGATTACAGTACAGGAGGTGGATAGCAGCAGCCTGTGGTGTACAGGCTGGTAGGATCAGTGGTAGCTGGGAGCTGATTCAAAACACAGAGTATTGATGTTGCTGAGGGGCCACTTTGTGGTTTGGAAAAAAAACAAAACATTACAGATGAATACAACCCAGGCAGGAACTTCACTGGCAAGCATCAGTGGTATAAAAATTTATTTTGGAGCAGACAAGCTTTCAATTTTTCACATTAGTAATCTACTTTGCCTTGAGTGAAGTTTAATTGACCTATCAGTGCCTGTACCTGAGAGAAGCATCTAAAGCTCTTTCCGCCTCAAGTAATTGGCTTACTTTGTCCATATAACACATCTGGCTCCCAGAGCTGCCCAGTCAGGCCCACAGTCTCTATAAAGTGGAACACCATCCATAAAATCTCCATTAGAGCAGGGCTGCCTGGAGGTCGCCGTGAGGAGAATCAGGGGGTCACTGCTCCACTGTAATGCCTTCACACATGGGGTTAGAGGTGAGCGCTGTTGACATTCCTCCCATGACTGTCTGATATTAGCATGATTGATCTGCCGGAGCGAGGCTCTGGGAAATACACTCCCCACTTGGCTCCTGAACTTAAACATTTATGTTTGGTCCTGCATCTTTCAATCTATCTGTCTTTTTCTCTGTCTGTGCATCTCTTTCTCCTTCTCTCACCTAAATGTCTGGTGGATCTCCAGTGAGGCTTTAGTGTCACAAAGGGATTGACCTTGGAGCAACGGTACCAGAGAGTGTTTATCTGTCTTTCCTCTTAGCTAAACCAGATAAAAGAAGAAAGTTGTGATTGATCGCCCACTCTTCGCTCCAAGCCTTCATAGGTTTTCTGTTAGCAGTTCCATGTGAGCTACAGTAGAGGGCCGTGAGTTATTGCTTTGTCAAATTCCACACCTTCTGAGTGCCAATGGCCTTGGAGGGGAGGTAAAGACTTCTACTCCTTCCCAAGTATATGAATGGTGCATTTCTTTTCTCATTCTAAGGTTTTACTGCCCCTTTGGACCTGATGTGCAAAGTGATGGAAAAAGATGAAGGGATGGGAGGGGATGATGTGCAAAAAAGACACACACAACACTTTAATCTCCTAACCTCTCCGAACACATGTCGTGGACAAAGTGCAAGAGTGGATGAGTATCTTTGGTGATTTCCAAACAGAACTTGGCAAATACCTGCCAGTAGTTTGGGGTGAGACCTTCTGTACCTGACTCGTCACTGTGTGCCACACCCCACGCAACATGAAGGTGGACCGCCACTTTCTCCTAGATAATTTTGAAAACAGAGAGAACAAACTGTTTCCTCAATCTTCATGCAGGCTTTGTAAGATGAGGATCAAATTATGTAGTTTTTACAGTAAGGAGACAATTGAATAAAGCACACCCAGCTTTCCTGTAGGCCGGTCAGTCATTAGAGCCCACTCACAGTCCAGCTTATCTCTCCCAATCAAATACACCAGCCCCATAATACCCCAGGATGGACTAAATCACATGTAATTGGAGGATTTATTTTTTCCAACTCCTTTCAGCCGGTGAGCTCTGTGAAGATAACCCTCCCTGCTGCCGCAGTCTCTGGTGTCTTTGAGTAAACAAACAAACAAACAAAGTTGGAAACAGACGGTCAGTGGCTGGGCGGGCTGGTCAGGGTTCAGTCGCCGGGGCAACGGGATCCCGGGACGTTTGTTTTCCCCCTGGGAGGTGAGGCGGGTGAGATCAGGGGGGTTGACTTGTTGTTTATTACTATAATTTGTCTGAGTGGCTCTGGAGAGATTTCAGGGCTCTTTGAAGCGGGGCTGGATGAAGCCTGGAGCGTGGCATGCTGTGCCGGGCTTTGGGCCCAATTTCCAATTCGCCTACACCCCTGCCTCCGCCCAACCTACCCCCTTTTCTGTAATCTGCCGTCCCAATCCTTTATCCTGAGCTGCGTCATCCCGGATCCTCCAGGATCTTAAGGGCCACACAAATGGAGAACTTTTCTCAGAAGTCAATCTCTCATGTATGTTTTTATAGGTTTAACACTGCCACATGTTAAATTACACTCCCCCCCATAACTGCCATGGTGGTGCATTTGACTACCAAAAGTTTGCTGACATGTCTGTAGCTCTTTCTTTTCAGTCAATGTATCTTTATTGGGATTTTTCCCACATACACAGAGTACAGATGACACAGCCATACTGAATAGATGAATGAAATTAAACAAAATGAAACCAGCGAACAGGTTTTCATATCCAAAGCAATACCTATTTTCAAGAAACAAGAGGCACCCACATAGGAAATAAAAGGCTGCGACACTACATTACATTTTGCAATGGATCCCCACAGAGTGAATCTTATTTTTTCTATTTTAAGAAAATGCATGACCTCACAAATGAAGGTGGAAGGTCAGTCACTCTTCAAATTCAGAGGAAGGAGACGCTGCTCTACAAGGGCTGAGGGCCATGCCGTTTTAACTGTTCTTTTGTCAGGGTAAGATCCTCTTAAGGTACACCAAAATGTCCAAGAAAAGGGCACTTATCTGACATGCAACCTCTGAATAAACTTCAAATATAGAGGACCAGAATGCTTTTAAGTTGGGACATGGACAAATTGTGTGACAAAGGCTGGCAGGAGCTTGCTTGCATCTGTCACAGTTATAACCCCAAGGAAATTTTTTGAAAGCTTTACCTGAGACAAATGAAGCTGGTGTACAATCTTAAACTGAACTAGGTCATGCCTCGCACAAATAGACGAAGAGCAAATACTTTAAAGTACTTTAGAACACTGATCTTCTGATATGTCGGTTTCCAAATCCTTTTCCCAGTTTTCCTTTATTATTGCAAGTGACAAATCTTCAGTATCAAACATAACCTAGCTGTATAAATCCTGTATATTAATCCCTTAACCTCTGATTTGGTTTCTGGGATTAAAACCGACTATAAAGTGTAACGGAAGTAATAATGCGCTAGTAGAGCAAACTCATTCACAATTTGATCAAATTACATTAACAACATAAACAGCGCATGCTCCATGGCCTCTCTTCCAGTTTTAGTGTATTGGTGTGGACGCGTCCCAGTGCCACATACAGGCCTGGCATATGTACTACAGCGTTTTGGGTTGTGGTGTAGTGGTGCCTAGAGAGTATAGTATGGGTGTGGTCTTAGGGCGTTTTTCACACCTAAACCTCCGACAAAATGAGGTATGTGTGAAAACGCCCTTAATTTGTGCCCGCAAAGTGGCCCGTCCAGCAAAGGATAAATGCCCTGTGTTTAAAATAGTGACATGCAAGTAATAAGAATCGTTATGTTTTTGTTACTTTAGAATGAGCCTTTTATAGCCACAGACTCCGCAGGTCGTCTGCCTTGGAGTTCGCCATGTTGAACCGCCATGTTTCTATAGAAGCCCAGAAGGGACAAACCAAACACTGGCTCTAGATAGGGACAGATGCATTTTCGGTGCGTTTCATGGCCACCATAGTTTCGTCTTCTTGCTTGTAAGGATGAAACAAAGGGGAGTTACGATCTACAACTGGATGCCAATAAATTCTACACACTGGACCTTTAACCACTGTTGCTTGACTTCAGGGAATAAGGATAATTGTGAAATTAACATTATAGAATAGCATTGCAGATTTGGCAATCAATATTGGCCCACAGACGGGTGAGACAACTACATCATTTCGCATTTTGAGCGAAGTATTCAGCTTGCAGAACTACTGAAAGATACACATCAGAGGGGATTTAGAAGTAGGTGTACCCAGTGCTGACTGAAAAATAAGTACATATTATGAATTCTATAAGTTTAAATTTTTATTTATATTAACTGAAAAGGAAATTCATTAATAGCTCCCTTGACCGTGCTTGTGGCTGGCTGTCTGCATTTGTCAGTGTGCACATGTTTATATTGTATGTCTACATAGGAAGTCCTCTTACCAGGCCCTCAGCCATCATGTGCATGGCTGTCTGTCTGCTGTGTCCTGAGGAGGAAGGGGGGTAGTCAGTCCCAGAGCAGGTTTAATTGGTGTCAAGCAGGCCTCAGTGAAAAGCCATCAGAGACTGGAGATGCTCAGCGAGACAGGAAACCTTTTATTAGGGGACTTCCTTCAACTGCAGGACTCAATGTGTCCCTGTCTGTCCTATTGTCTCTCCCCATATCCCTCCCTCTTAAAACCTCTCATCGCCGCACAGTTTCCATCTGCTCTGTTCCTCTCCCACTCACTCTCTGTTGGCTTCAAACATTTACTATTTATCACTCGTCCTCCCACCCTCGATGCTAGCTCTCTCCTTCTCTCTCTCGGTGGTATTGTTTTTTATGTCTAATGCCTGTCCTTGAGTGAGTGAGGGAGTTTGTCCCTGGGGGATCCGGTGACCACAGAGGCACACCGAGCCAGCCAGCCTAATGATGAGAGCACTTCCTGACAGCCAGCAGACACACACACACACACACACACACACACACACACACACACACACACACACACACACACACACACACACACACACACATCCAAACATACCAAGAGACAGCTTGCACATCTATACAGGTTTTATTTCTTACAAATGATCATTATAACTATCATAATCAAAACCAATTCTGTTATTTATTTGATTATTTTCAGTGTTGTATATCAGACTTCTTCTAATGATACATTTCATATAATAAAACATAAAAAAACACAACTGATATCAAATTTTCATTAAAGAACACTATCATACATTAGGCTCGAGTGGAAAAAGAGAAGATATGATAGGAGCTGACAGAAACAGATTCTTTGAATAAACCTTGACTTTGTTATACCTGCTTCGGCTTCTTCTGCTTATAAAGTATGCATGTCATGCTGCCACTCAGCATTACACGCCTCCACTCCCCCAGAGAACCCAAAATGTAAAGAATAAAAAGAGTCTTGGGGTCCAGGGTGAACTACCACAACCACAACATCCCCAGTTAAGCCGGCTTTTCAGCCCGCCTTTGAGTGTGGCTGTTCGGAACAGCTAGAAAATAAGATATGTCAAATAATCCGTCAGAACTGCTTGTTGGATGGTGGAATAGCTTCGGAAACTCCTTCCTCAAAACACCTTTCCAACACTGGATTAAGGGGAGCTGTATTCGACCACTTCTTTAACTTTCCCGAAAATCTACAATCCCACACTGACACCCGCTTCACACCCTGATTGGCCAGCTGTGCAGAGGTGAGAAAGAGTTTGAACACCTCTCTTTAGAGCTCTCTTTTTTTCCCTTCTTCACACTATTAACTATTTGAGGCAGTTTTTGTTCGTGTGTACAATACAACAAATGCCTCGTGATACTGCATCTCTCTCCTGTCCATCACAGCCAGCTCTTCAGTCCACCTGTTTGCCCGCAGGGAACAGCTATAAAAAAAAAATTCAGTTAGTTCATAGTTCATCATTAGTTCTGATCAAATTCATTCATCAAATAACACATTTAACATCTTAAGGGGTGGCACAGCAATAAAATGCATAATTGTCTGGATTATTTATGCAATATCCACATCGCGTCCTGTTAAATATTTTCATAAGGATAGTTGATGGAAACGTACAGGTGTAATTCATAATAGTTCTGTTCAATTCAAGTGTCCCAGTAAGCCACAAGCCATGACGGTGAATTAACCTTGGGAGGCAGCTGGACTCACCACCGTGGTCCGGACCAGTCAGGTTCCTTTGAGGTGTGGTTTAATGCACATGTTGACGAAAGAGCAAAGAACAGCACTGAAGGCTTTTGTTGATGGAAAAGATGTTTTCACCCTTCTTCCGACTGGCTTTGGTAAGAGCGTAAGAACGTTATATGGTTTGTTGATCTGATTGGTTAAAGTTCAGAGAGTTCAAAGAGTTAAGTTAAATTAAGTTAATCCAATCACAACTACCCAGGCGGTTCTGTGGAACAAACCATCTGACACAGTCAGGTTAACACTGAGCCAACTTGAACAAAATCAGGACCTTGAATTCTTTTTTATTTCTTTTCATTTTAAGCATTTTATTTAAATTTTTGGAATTTTATTTTCATTTTTAGCACCTGTGCTTGTCAGAATGTCTTAAAATTAGTTCAACATTCTAGTTAAAACAGAGGGAATATTTCAGTTAATTCATTTAACGAAGTAAGAATGCCTTTATTTATTTTGAGAAAAACACACGCACACACACAGATATTTGCATAAATATACACAAACACATCTACCCACACACATGCGTGAAGATAATTGTGCAGCTGCATTTCTCCAGTACTGCCTGCTGTGTTTTGTCAGCAAGTTTAACTGTAACCATAACTGTAACTGTAATTACTGTTGCACAAGAAGGAGCAGACAAAGAAAACACACATATCTGCAGTGTAGACTACTTCTCTTCTTACACATGCACTTATTCTCACTGGCAGTCACTCAGTAAAAAACACACAGGCACACCTGCCTTTCAGGTAACTGAAGATGTCATATAATACAATCATGTCCTGTCTGTGTAGGAAGTTTTTAGAAGAGTTTTTCCACTAGGCTTTTGCATTTGAAAATCAAGAGTTTATAATGTTGGTACACAGCAAATAGTTCTATATAGACTTTTTATGTACTTTAAAGTAGAACAGTGCCAGTGTGTTATAGGGATGTCTCGCCAGCACGTCTTCAGGCATAACTGAACCAGACCCAAGAGTGAACAAACCACAATGGGAGAACATACCATTCTGTGCCGGCCTGGATACGTCACAGTACACTTGTGAGGTGGAAAAACCATCTTTGTAACAGGAACCAGGAAACGAGGACAAGCAGAGACTCATCCTGACAGCTAAGCTGCAACGGTGGACGCCTAACTGCCATTGTTACGAAAGCCTGCACAAAGTTCAGTTGTTTCATGACAAGACAAGCTCTCACACTCTTCCAGCGAAACTATCTAGATGATCTTCATGTACCTGCAGGACAGGAGATGTCTTTAAAAACAATCCAGCAGGTTTTGGCCTGTTTCCATAACAACTGCTGTAAATGCCAGTGAAAAAAGAAAGCATCCTACCGTTTATCTTACAACTAGACACTCTGCAATCAGCCCTCTTGCCAATCTGCCTCTCTCTTCCCCTCTTTTTCTGTCTTTGTTCCTTTTCTCTGCTTTTTTTTTTTTGCCAAACTCTTCTTTTCTTTTCTCTCAGCCTCTCCTCCTCCTCTCCACCTCTCATTCAGTCTATCTAACCCCTCCCCCCCCCACAACTCCCCCTTTTCTCTTTCTCTCTCTTTCATTTCATTTATTCCTGAAAGCCACCCTTTTCTCTAAGTCCCCCTTTTTTTCTTTCTGTCCCCCCTCCCGTGCTCCACTTCTTCTCCACCCCTCTCTTGTTCGATCCCTGACTCAACTTTCACATTCCTGGAGCATTCCTGTAGGATTAGCCTTTAGCATTCTCAGGCTATACAGAGGCCACAGCCCCCCCACTGTGACGGTGGCAGGCACTAACGGACGACAGAGAGAAGTGTGTGTGTGTGTGTGTGTGTTACCCTCTCGCTCTCTTTCATCACCACTATCCTCCTCCTCCTCCTCCTCCTCCTCCTCCTCCCCCCCGCTGCCCCAGTTCCATCGTACTCAGCTTCCATCACAGTCAGCAACCTTCAGTCCTTACCCCCCGATGTCCTGGTAAATCCCAGCAGATGCACACATAAGCACTAATTTAACTAATTGATAAATTAGCACTAATAATTATTATTATTTACTTTTTTGTACAAATACATGCTATGTAAACGGTCAACTTTCTGTCACTAGCTGAAAAACCAAGGAGATGATGGCCATAATGTTTGAATGACACATTGGTGGAAAAAGGATTAAGATCCTTACTTAAGTAAAAGTAAAAAAAGTGAGTCTTTGCTGCAGTGGGCTGGGTTCGAATCTGACCTGTGACCCTTTGCTGCGTGTTATCCTCTCTCTCCCCCTGTCCCTTTACTGTCAGTTAAAGGCATATTATTATATTTGATGCATTCATGTGCTATAGTATCTTAGATCTATAACTGGAGTGGAAAGTAACTAAATACATTTACAAGTATTAATAGTTCAATACCATTTTGAGGTACTTGTGCTTACTTTATTCAATTACATTTATTTGATATCTATCTGATTCAGATGAATAATACAAAATATAATTTAAAAAAATATTAGTAAAAGTAATAAGTATTATTAAGAAAAATAATTATTATGGATAAAGATTAGACATTATTGATCCCTTGGTGAACTTCACAACCCGGCAAGCCCCCCCATTACCAGCTGCAATATTGAAGTAAAGTACATATTAATGCATCAGTAACTATTACTATTCAATAATATCATTATTATTGAATTATAAAAAATACATTATTCTGAAATGGGTCTCTGTATTAATGAGTATTTTTACTTTTTGTACTTTAAGTATATTTTGATGCTAATACTTTTTTACTTTTACTTCATTAAAATTTTTAATGCAGGACCTTTACTTGTAAAAGAGTATTTCTAGTATTCCTATTTTTATCTAAGTCAAAGAGCAGAGTACTTCTTCCACCATGCTCTATAACCATGCATTGTGTTTCATAAACAATTCATGTGTTTTGTATGTGAAACATATATCAACAAAGTAATAATCATAGATATAAGATAAATGTAGTGGAGTAAAAAGTAGGTTTCTCACTGAAATGTAGTGGAGTAGAAGAGTTAAGTAGCATAAAAAAATAATACTCAATTGAAGTACCCTTAAGTACAGCACTTGAGTAAATGTAACAGTGACCTCTAAAAAATGCAGTGCAAAATAACAACACCAACAGCTGCAGACATTACAAAAAAACAAAACAAAACAAAGAAAACATTGCAACCCATTAGCTGTAATATTAGGGTTTTAAAATATATTTTCTTAAAGCTTCTAAAACATATTACCACAAATCATCATTCCCAGAGTTATGCCAACGAATAAGAATAAAACAACTAACAAAACAAGTAAAATTCTAGAAACAAGCTAATTTACAGTCAAGACAGTTAAGGAAATCATTTTAATCGTCCCACTTCATGATCAAAACTGTCTCAATATTAGATTAAGAGACTATGTTACCTTTGCTGCTAACCCCAGTTCAAGCTGTACTGTAGCAAACAGAAAGAAAAAGTGAACTGCTCATCCATCTTTTCTTTCTTTCCATCTCTCTGATGGAGTGTGCGGCCGACTGCAGCTGCCAGCGGCACCATCGACACACCGAGTAGATTAATGTTTATTTCACTCACACTAATGATCCTCAGCACCACGGGTGGGATCTTGTATTGACCCATCCCAATTACTGTCAAACTGACCTGCCCAGTAGTTTCACAAGGAAAGATGGGACTGGGAAGAAGTAAATTAATGACTGAAAGAAAAAATAACCAAAACAGGTATGATAAAATCATATAAATTAAAAATACTGTGGCATATGGAGGGACACAATATATTAAATTGATCCCAACACACAGAGTACATCTATCTCTGCTCTCTTCCTTTTTCATCCAAACCTTCAGGTTAAAAGTAAAGCAATATGAGGTAACCGTGGCCTTTTTCCTGTTTGCTCTTCTGTTTCTATAAGGGGGCTTTGTGTCGAGTCAGTATTACAAGCCAAACTAGTAGCACTACCACATGTGGAAACACTCACATCACCTCCTAGGACAAAAAAACTTGGCAGGGGCAGGTGGGAGGAGGGTGAGAGCGAGAGAAATAGAGTATACGTGTATATGTGGGTTAGAGAAAGAGGGAGAGAGACCCCTTTTGCTCATAAGTATCACCTTACTTCAGCCAAAATAAAAGTGTGTCTTGGCAAAATAAAACCTCTCAGCTGTTTCCCCCTTCTCTCCTGCCAACATGACTCATTTTTATCCTCACCTCCCCTCTCTCCCTTCCCTTCCTCTCGCCCTTTTTGTCATACACTCAGTCTCACTCAGTTGCCTATCCAAGAATTATAGCAGATAATTTAACACTGGATTCCTCCTGCTTTTCAAAATGCATTGTTTTCTCTTAAGTAGTCAAAGTATTTGTGTTTGTATTTCTCTTTTATGCTCACTCCCATCTGTTCTGTGTTCAGCTCTTTCTAAACTGTGTATCTCAACTCTCTTCACTCTCTCCGCTACTAATTTCTGTCCTTATCCATGCCCACATCTACTGTAAATCCCTCTCTCCTGGCTCATATTGCAGCTCTTTCTGTGAATGTACAGTACAGTATTCTGTTCCTCCACATCAAGCTGATTGCTTTCTGTCAGGCTGTACTGCTGTAGGGGCCCCAGGAGGGCCCGGTCCCTCACATCTAAACATCTGTCCATCCCATTACCGTATCTGCTGCCGAACCTGAGCCCCTTTTACTCATGCTGACAGCAACGCTGGCGAGAACGGGAATGATATCCAAGGGAATGCCGACGTTCCCGGGTGTCTCCTCAAAGCTCCTGATTATGTGAGCCAGCTGGTTGAGAGACGCAAGGAGTCGCCAGGCGGCGTTCCGCAGGGCATCCGATAGGGCCCCGGATGTTTTCAAAGTATGGGTATGGTTAGGAGCATGTACAAGGATCAGTGCGAGGATGGGAATGTATGCCCTGCGTCGGGCATCAGTCGGCTGGGTCGTTTGGTTGGAATGTGACTCAGGAAACCCATAATGGGGCTTACTGTATGTGCTGTCTAGATGACTGTTGTCTTTTAGCACTGTGAGGTACAGAGGAAACAGATATGGCCAGGGGTGGTGGTAGTGATGATGATGATGATGATGATAATGATGATGATGATGATGATGATGATAATGATGATGATGACGAGGACAGAAAAAACAACAATCACCTTTAACTAACAAGAAGGAAGTAGAAAGATACAATGCACTCCATCCACCCTGACCTGCATATGCGCTCTGTATCCTGTGTCTGGTACATAGATGTACCACCTCCTACATTAGAAAACTAGTGCCAACCTCTATGGCTGAAAAATGAAGCCAAAAAACTGCATTTCCTTGTAAAGCTACTTGAGGCTGGTTGCAAAAGTGGCCAAATCTCCATAACCCTCCATATTGAAGTGCCCAACTTTACAGCAAAAATAAACATGTTTATTTGTTTGTTTATGTTTAAAAGTTTGTTTCAAAAGCTAATTTTCCCATTCATGATAACTGTACAGAGGTGAATTTGTATATAACACACCTGTTATATTAAGGCTTAAAGTTATGCATAATAAAGACCATGGCCACTTTGAGTAAGAGGTGGGTGCAATCACTAGTGGTAGGTTTCAGCAACCAGGCTTCATTTGACACCCCTCAGCTCCACGCCTTTGCAAAATGGCAACGACTGAGCTTTACACTTGCTCTTTAGAACCTTATGGGTGACATCACAGAAACTACATCCATAAGGTTTACAGATTTTTTTAGAGAAACTTTTGGCAGGATATCCCTGTTGGCAAAAACTTAAAAGGTTAAGTTGTAACTGAAAGTTAGAAAGAGTAAAGTGAAAAAGTCCATCTTTACAATCCATGCAGCCTTTGAGGTGTGAAAATACGGCAGCTTGTGAACAGAAGCAAAGCTGTATTTTCAGGTGGCATTGATGGAGGACAACCTGCCTCTGCTCTGCCGGGACAGTCAATAGCAATTCCAGGGTGAAACTGGAATTTGTGGACGAACAAGCGAGAGAGACAGTTTGGAGATGGATGAAACCACATCCATCACAACCAGCCTTAGTAACCAAACCAGAACCTTTTCCTGAATAATCACTCAAAACAGGACTTGTTTCAGCTATGTCTGTATACTTAATTGTGATGTGTTTGACTAATTTTTGTTTTCCAGCTCTGTCAGTGTCACGGTGAGTAGGTAATGCCAGACTGGACTTGATCCTCTGTGATTTGTCCTTCAGATGGACCAAACATAATCCTTCCCTAAGCACGTTGTGACTTTGACCTCCTGTGTGGCCAGATCAGATAAGAGCTGCAGGTAAACACAAACACTCTGAGAGGAGGGAAAACAAAGTGCTGATGATAAATGATGCACACACGCTTAGACACACACACACACACACACACACACACACACACACACACACACACACACACACACACACACACACACACACACACACACACACACACAGTCTGGTCTAAATGCAGAGACAAAAACCTACTCTAATGCAAGGATGCTTGTGCACACACAC